AAAAATGTTTTTTATGTATCAAGAACTCTAGGTATTCACAAAATACTTCTGTTAAGCTGATCAGAACTATGCGACCTTGAATTTCGTTAAAAAGTTAGCACCCCATTTTTAAAAAATTATTAAAAAATGATTATTAAGCGCATATGTCATTAAAAATCATAGAGAACTCTTCGTATCGTCAAAAAGAAGCAGAAATTATCATCAGAACTACTGTACCTAAAAATTAATTTTTCAAAAATTTTTCAAAAATTTTTAATTTTTTTTTAATATTTGAAAATTTTTTTTACATATCAGGAACTCTAGGCAATCGCAAATTGAAGCTATTAAGCCGCTCAGAACTATTCCACTTCGAAATTCGATAAAAAGTTAGCACCCCATTTTTAAAAAATGTAAAAAGAATGTTTATTGAGCGGAACTTTTGTTATTAACTATAGGGAACTCTTTGTCTCGTCAAAAGGAAGTAGAAACTCTGATCAGAACTCCTGAGTACTATAGTTGGGGTGCTAACTTAACATACCCACTAAAAATTAAGATTAAAAAGATTTTGTTTTTTTCTGCCATTTATTTATATGTAACTTATTTACTTAAAATGACATTATTTATCATTTGTCTTTCAAAAAAAATTACGTAATCTTCCTTATCTTAAATAAACCACAAGAATAGCGATTTTTTTCTATCATTATCATAACTATAATTACTGAACCAAAAAATTATTAGAATTCCATAGTGTTGTCGGTTTTTGTAATTAAAGTTTAACATTTATTATCCAATCTGTATATATATATACGTAAATACTTTATATTTGTATATTTATTTATACATTTTACAGGTGGTCTTATGTTAGGTTGCGGTAGCAAAGGAGCACGTCTCCGACATTGGATAGACGCGATCAAGTTCCCGGATCATCGACATTTTGCATGGCACAATCTGGCGGAGATGGACGTACCTATGGAATAATAGTTCTGTTTCGATAATCGAAAAGCAGGTCAAGATTAAATAGAACATAAAAATATGCGGGCTTTGTCCACGTGTCATGTATATTTGCATGGACATACGTACGTAGACGCGTATAGTATATCTACTTGGCGCGCGTGTTACCATTTTATGCGTGTAATTTATCGTTGCTCAAAGATCAAGTATTATAAAGTATTAAGAGGTTGATATGAAAATAAAGAAGTTGAGAACAGAGTGCCATTTTGTCACAATTTATTAACAATATATTTACATATTTTATACATACATATATCATACATGCATACATACATACATTAATATATATATATGCGTATGTAAATGCAAACACAATAATAAATGTCCTTTTTATCTCGTAAATTAATAAAAATAAACATAATAAATAAAACATCTAATCAAATAATTCTAACTAAACTCTATTGTAAGCACTATGATCACTAAAAAAATTTGTTTTTGTTGATTAACGCGCAATATATCATCTAATAATATATCATCTAATAATCGTCAATACGAGAGTTAGAAATTAGCCACACCGTAAGACTGAAATTGAAAAAGTCGCTCGCAAAATTTTAAACTAGTAATAATTATTAGATCTATCTTTGCTAGTTTATGAGATAAAAAAGAGTTACTTATACAAAGACACTCCAATGTATATAATTTCCTCTTCTTACATTTATAGAAATATAGTTAATAAATTTTTTAATAGAAAAAAATTAATCATCACTCCCAGAAGAATCTTCTTCTGCTTCTCGCAGCCATTTAATGAATGGCTGAACGGCATTTTTTACTTTTGTATGAAGCGCGTCTGCATTTTCGTCAGTAGATTCATACCATTCTAAAATCTTTTCTTCAGATAGTATATCGCGATCATAAAATTGATGCAACAGGTGTTGCGCGTATGGCAATAATTCGTCGGTTGTATTAACGACGTCTTCTATAGCACGCAAACAGTCTTCCTGCGCGTTATCATTCTTAATGTAATTCTGAATAATAGTGTTAAAATAAGTTATCATAATTTTCAGGTTTTTTTGATAATTCTGATTAGTAACGGCAGTCTTTGTTTCGGAAAGATAGTGTAATGGCAAACTGAGAATTGCTTTGATGACGTTATACGTCACCTCGCGGATAGTGACATTGTACGCATACCTGGACGAGTTTATTTCTAAAATTAAATTCTCGCAATTGAGTTTATCCTGATAACCACGTAACAAACTATCGATAACTTCGGACAAGAACATATTTGTGTCATCTGGAATTGGAGAGTCACATTCCAAAATTTCTTCGTTACTAGATGATTCTGAAGAGCAGTCATTACAGTCAATTACTTCAGCATTTTTAAAGTACAAAAATCCATCGTCGGCATCGAGATCCGACATTTTAGTTTTAGACATACCAGAAGATGTAGATTCGATAATGGTATCGATGTATTGACTGCGAGCAGCAATGTCAACTCCAGAACATAATATACATCCATCTATTTGGCTACGATATCTAACAATACAATTCGGAAATAAGATACTACTCTTAATAATACAATTGTCTTTGATTCTAACGTTTGAAAAAACGTAAGAATTATCTATAATAACGTTACTACCTATAGTACAATTGTCTGCGATCACAGATCTTGCAACTTTAGTATTATTTCCTAATGAACTGTTAGACCCAAGAATACAGTCTTTTTCTAATAAACAACCTTTTGCAAAAGTAGCAGTTTCATGTTTATACGTACTCCGCGGCATACATATAAAGTTTTTCAATAATGGTAGAACATCTGGTGCAAGAGGAAAACTATGTCTACGCAAAACATCCTGAGTAAGTACATGATGAGCCTTCCAAGAGGTAATTGGCAAAGCATAATCTTCTGTATTTAACTGCTGCCAATAAATTCTCGAATCCAAAATCTCCTCGTTCATCAATACTCCTCGAATAAAATCATCCATAGTCTAAAAATATAAGAATAGTAAATTATATATTTGTTTCATTATTATATATAATTAAAAATAATTATGTTAATATTATAAGATAATTCTATTGATATCTTAAACAAAACGTAATTCAATCTGTTTTACTTACTTGAAAATCAAAATTATCAGCAAAAAGTGGCAAAACAGATGGCGAACACAAGTAGATATGAGTATCCAAGTAACAAGAATTAATTTCTACTTCATTATGATCAAGAAACCAGTTTAATTCTAGCTTTACTTTTTTCTCACTGTTCTTTAATTTAGTGTAATACAGAATTTTATTACTGCTTTTGTCTGACACAATTAGAGATGCTTCCTCATTGAGGTAAGAATCTTTCATTGAACCAAAGTTCCGTAACACCATAGTCATAGTTGCTCCTTTATCCTTCTCGGCTCTCACACGATGAACATTGAATAAAGTTTTAAGATCTGTATTGGTAAAAGTGTTCCCACGAATCAGTATAAAGTATCCCCTGATCCATCCTTTTGTATCAATATCTCGTAAAGCATCTCCAAGTGATCTGCAGCCATCGGAAATGATCAAGGAGATCGTAATGTCTTTGTAAACTCTTTCCTTCATATATTTTTTCAGCAGATCTACGTGACTGCTACAATAAAGGAATACCTCTTGTATCTTTGACTTTATCAACGTTTCGATCATGTAATCGAGAAGTGGTATGTTTATCACCGGCATTAGAATGCTCGGAAATATATTTTGCGCCGGATTTAATCTTGTTGTGAAATCATCCGCAAGAATAACGGCTTGCAGAACATCCTTCTTACACATTTTCGTATTCATAGTCCTAAATTCACAATAATTCACTGGCGTATGGATCAATAAACTACTAAGCTTAGGCAACTGTTACGAACACGTGAGAATTTTTAATTCTAATATTAGATACCATAGATAAATTGGTAAAACGTGAAGACTTATGGGCGTCGCCATATTGAAAAATAGACACTAGCACCTCTGAACTTAAAGGACAAAACTACTTATACGTATGTAAATTGTTGGTAAGTTATCGTCTATCATAAGATAACTTTTAAATTGGTATTTTTAATAATTTTTACAGTGTGTTTTAAAATGGTCGATTTGCTATATTTTCTCTCTTTACCTCTCTTATGCCCATTTCAACCAATGTATAGATTAACTTTAATCTCGGTTTAACTTACTGTTCATCTTTTTCTAATTCTAAAAATTAGAAAAAGATGAAGAGCAAAATATAGCATCTCTCATGACATCCTTGTTGTTCGCCAATGTTAAATAAGGATGAGATGATCACTGTGTTATACTGTGTCATTTGTTGGAAAGCACACTTTATAGATAATTAAAATCTTACTAAAAAAATATACTCATTCAACATGTATTCATTCAAAGAATTTGGCAGAAAAACACGGTGGTCGGCCTCATGAATCGAGTTATTAAGTGTTAAAACTTTAGAGGTTAAGATATCTGTCATCTCAGCACAATGCACATCGCGGTTTTTTTTCTATCTGACCCCGAATAGCGGCACATCTAACGCCGTTGTCTTATCCCTTACCAGAGGATCTCTAGTATAGTGTCGTATTTCGCTCTGGACACTCTGATCAAAGTGATCGATCTCGCCTCTCGTCCTCTCGAACGACGTCTATTCCTACAGAGAGAAAATAGTCTACTCTCTACTGAATCTCCACGTGTTCTGGTTTTTTCTCTGGAGTATTTAGCAAGTAGCGTTTACGATAAACGATTCTGATTTTTTAACTTGATAATGGCAAAATTAAAGAAAACTCTACAGGACATACAAATGCCTGCTGTACAAAGTACGAAAACATCCATCGTGAAGGTAATCTATTTTTTGTTAGTTTCTTAAATAATGTGGTTCAATAAATCTCTTTCCTTTATTTTACATTTTAAATTTGTGATATATACAAGATCTTTTTTGAATTTTGTTTTAGAAACGAAGAAATCGAAGAAAAAAGAAAACTAATGTAGAATTATTGAATAATATAGATAAAAATAATTTAAAGAAATCAAGTGTCTCTAATGAAATAGCAAAAGATACATTTACAAATATGCAAAATAGTGAAAAGAAAGAATCGTATAGTTTTAAGAATAAACTTAATACAAAATATGTAAAAAATATAGATGTTCCAACAAAATATCCAAAGGATAATAAAAATAATTTAAAGAAATTAAATACTTCTAAAAATAAACTTGCAAAATATACAGAAAACTCAAGTGCTTCAATAAAATATTTAAAGAGTAATAAAAATAATATAAAGAAACTAAGTGTATCTAATGACAAAGCAAAGGATGTATTTCCAAATTGGCAAAAAAGTAAAATGAAAAAATCATATGATTCCAAAAATAAATTTGATGCAAAATGTACAGAAAATTCAGATATTCTAATAAAATATCCAAAGCATGATAAGAAAAGAATATCAAATATGTCCCAAGAAATACAAATTAACTCAAATGTTAAAGTAAAATGTAAAAAAAATAAAAAACGAAAACAGGACATGAATCTTAATCGTACAAATAAGAATGCTGTAAGAGTCAATGATGAAGACGATGAAAACAATGAAGACAATTCTTCAGAAGACGATAAAGACAAAAGCTTCACAAAAAGAGAAGAAAAGCTTAAAAAATTACAAATGGAATTAAAAAATCTTAAATTTAAGATGACAAAATTAATTGAAGAGAACAAAGATAATATGAAACAGATGTCAACTAATGTAGACGCACAGCAGATACGACCTAATATATTAAAGCTGAACAAACATAAAATAAATATCAATCGTTTAAAAGAAATGCTAGAAAATAAATCGCAAATAAAAAAAGTTGCACAATCTACTTTAAGAAATAAAAAAGATACTTTGAGAGATAGAATGAAAATTCAGTTAAGAGCGTCCAGATTCAGGTTTATAAATGAGACATTGTACAATAATGATAGTTCACAATCTAAACATTATTTTCAAAAAGAGCCTGATAGTTTTATGGCTTATCATGCAGGATATAAACAGCAAATTGAGCAATGGCTGATAAATCCACTGGATGTTATAATATCATCAATTAAAGAATTGTATATTATGCCTTAATCTTGAACAAAATTTACGCAAGTTTGAATGTCTGAATAATGTCTTAATAATTGCAGGCCAGAAGACAATGTAATCGCTGATTTTGGCTGTGGTGAAGCTCGGCTCGCAGTTTCTGTTCCTCAACAAGTACATTCATTTGATTTCATCGCTTTAAATGATAAAGTAAAAGCTTGTGATATGGCTCATACTCCATTATTAATGAACAGCGTCCACGTTGTCGTGTTTTGTCTCTCCTTAATGGGATCTAATCTTAATGATTATATAATAGAAGCTAACAGGGTTCTTAAAAACAAGTAAGTAGTAACGATATTCTTGATTGATATATGGCAATAATATAAAAAATTAATTACTTTTACTTCAATAAACTTAGTGGGATCTTGAAAATAGCCGAAGTCGAAAGCAGATTTGAAGACGTAAAAGATTTTATAAGACTACTGCGCCATTACGGTTTTAAAAATACTTGGAAAGATTTATCTCATAATCTTTTTTATTTTATGGATTTTAAGAAAAAAGAAGATATAAGTATGAAAAGAAAAAATCTTCCATCAATTACGTTGAAATCATGTGTATATAAAAAACGATAATATTTTGTTGTATGTTAATAATGCATTATGATATAATATCATTGAATAATATTTCATTTTTCACATAAATCTTTTATATAAAAATGTTCTGTACTTTGTTGATATTGCAATTAAGTAATAAATATATCAAACATTTGAATAAGTATATTAAACATTGTTAGAATAATTACATTATATGTTTGCTTAATATGCTACAATGTTAGTCTTTGAATGACATTGCTTCATTGGAATTGTAGTTATAAGAAATAAAAAATAAGGAAGAAAAAAGATTTAGGACAAAAATTTAAAATATCAAATGTGAGATGGGATAACAAAGAAGATAAAAATGGAATTGCATAAACTTGAAAATAAGGATACAGATATTTATTGTGAAGTAATTTTTATTTCAAATTCTTTTATATTTTTTTAATATCATATATCATTTAAAATTCTTAATATTCTTATTATAGACAATTACAATTATAACATTTCAGAATTTCATAGTGATTATGATTTTGATAACACTGCACATTTCTTTATTTAATATAATACACTACATGATATGAGAAATTTTTATGTAACATAATTCAATCACTGGTTTAATCACTGATCTCTTAAGATGCATTGATTAATTATTACGTGTATATGTGCGTTTGTGACAAAAATAAAATCGTATCTGATAAAAGACAAGTTAATAGTTTTTACACATAAAAGATAATAATTACATAAGATTACATAATATAGTACTAAATACAATTATATTAAATTGTTTACATGATGCAAATTGAAAGAGAGAGACATATTATTTCTTCATTCAATTTAATCCACACTTGATTCAGACGTGATTCAGATATTCCTAAACTCATAATTGCTATATGATAGACATAAATTTTTTACGCCAAGATAAGATACAAGGTTAAATATTTTAATCAATTTCAAAACTGTTTTACAAATTTGTAAATTCATCGTACATGTATTTATTAAGGTTTTTTAAGAATATTTAAGCGTAAAGAAAACGAAAAATTCTCAGTTTCGCGTAAAGGAGGCACGGCAGTGTCGCGCGCTTGGCTTAGCGCCGAGACACTACCGTGTCTCCAGGTGATATTGATAAAAAAAATAGATTTATATATACAATCGAAAAATATAATAATTTTGAGATATGGAAATTCAAACAATAAATAAATTTTAATAACCGGGCAATGAGAGCATAAGTACAGCGCAGTAAATTAGAGCGCAATTATAATAATATATTTTAAATAAAATTACGCACATTTACAAAGATTTTAATCTTTTGGTTTCCTTCTTTCAAACCATCTTCAGCAATTATTAAATATAAAAAAAATCTTAACAATTGATGTCAATATAATTACAGTGGTCCGCTAATAATTGGATGAATTCCATAGTATCCCGGTGGAAGTCAATGTGTGCAAACTGTCAATTTAAAATTTACCTTCTAATTACTGCACTGTATTATGCTCTCATTGCCCGGTTATTAAAATGTATTTATTGTTTATACAAATGAGTTTGAGAAATCCTGACATTTATCTCTCAAATTGATATAAATTTTACGCTTTAGTGCGCATTAACATTTATTATTTTCAATTTATAAACTGATGTCGCTGTTAAGATAATGAAATAAATGGCTGAGATACGAGACTAGTGTGTAGGCTTCATTATTCACTGACACAACAAAATAAAATATTTATAAAACATACTTCGTATGTGTGCGAATATCTTACAACCTACATAGCGCAATACGTGGATCTATGATTATATAATATTATATGTAACAGTAATTACTACACTATCAAATGATATATCCTATAATATTATGACAACAAAAAGTAATTACACAGAAAATGTGTGTGCTATATATATTATTATATACTTGTAATGACCTTTGCAATCAAGGCGTCGTAAATAAATGTGTGCATTGCACAAATGCGCGTTAAAGAGGGAGGGGAGCCTAATTAAATTTAAATTAATTCTCTATTCCTGTAACACCAATTGCATGTGCTCGCTTCTATCATATTTAATTTCTTATAAAATCGCAACGCTGCTAAAATCTTTCAGTACATACAGAGGCATTTTAGCATATTAATCATGTAACTAATATTTCCCTTAAAACGAAAACGTGAAAAATGAAAAATTGCTCTATGAACTTTAATGACAAAAACTTTTATTTTTATAAAATTCCACTCTAAAAAGAAGTTACAATATCCTAGAACAAAAATTAAAAAATCGTATTCTTTCTACAGATATTAAAAAATTATTTTAAAAATAGCTTATTTAAGAGATTGATAAATAATAATATTAAAAGGGATTGCTTTGCACAAAGGCGCCTTATATGTTAGCGACGGTCCTGTTCGTAATATCAATATTACAATGTTAATTATGCGTCAGTATAAATACATTTCTAAGTGTGGAACACAGCAATTTAAAATCGCACTAATCATCTATATTAATAATCTATACATGTGTGTAAAATTTTATTAAAATGTAATTAGGAAAGAGTAAAAATACTCTTTAAAACATCTGCAGAAGTATCGTTCTTTTTTTTATTTGAATAAAAAATATTTAAAATATCTCACCGCATTAAATAGTACTAATAAAAATTTATATTAATTACTTATACATGCATTATGATAGAAATTTCACGTGCTTTACATTTTCTTGACTAGATATTATAAGTCTTACTAAATATATTGCTTTATTATTCTTAAAACAATCTATTTTTGTGTTAAATCATAAAATAAATTTATAGAATTCTGAAAAATGTATATTATATGATTTATATTAACGTACAAAGCTTTAGGAAGCCCTAATTTACTTAGTAAGTTAAGTAAGTTAAAAAGCCATTAAAAAGATGAATTAATACAAATGTGATACAATTTCACATAAACATGTACTTACAATTGTAAGAAAATGATAATTTATATTATACGATACATATATACACAGAGTGTTTCGAAATTTGTGAATCAAAACACCTCAACTCAAATACACATAGCAAGAAAGTTCTCGAAAAAAACAAATTAAAAATATTTACCATTTTTTTTTCTAAGCCGTTTTTTAAAACTAGTTTAAAACTAACTAATTACAGATTATGTGTGTGTGTGATTAAACAGCTATCCGTGAGTCACCGAGTCATCACTCGCGATCACTAACACACTATCAATGCACAACTCACAGACAGGCAGTCATTTAATTGTAATTTATGATTATAATCAGTTTTAAACTTTTCTATCTCAAAAATTAGTACTCAAAAAACTACTGCTTGAGACATAAAACTTGTTTTTCGCAAATAACTTATTTTTTCGAGAACTTTTTTGCTATGATATTTTAATTCGCAAATTTCGGGGGGAGGGACACTGTACATATATGTGTACACGCGCGCGCGCGCGCGCGCACACACACACACACACACACACACGCGCGCGCACAGGGCTGGGTAATATTTAAAATAGTTCCATTTTAAATACATATTTAAAATGGAAATGGCATTTTGCATTTTCCATTTTGAATAGTTTTTTAGAAAACCATTTTCATTTTACATTTGAAATGGAATCATGTCTATCATTTAATCATTTATAAAATAGGTAAATGGTTTTTTTATGTATTCATAAATTTTCCCTTAAGAAGAATCAAGTATCGTGATTGGTGAGAACACAATTTCTTCTATGACGATGTTGTCTGATACATTTAAAAAACAATTGTTACTCAAAGCAAATAGTGCGTTTATTAAATTAAATAAAACTGTATTACTGTAAAATGTATTTTTTTAAACAAATATTAAAATCTTTTTAGGACTGTACAATGATAAACAACAATAAGAAGAAGGAAGTTAATAACAGTCAAAGCTGGATCACAATGCTTATTATAATTATGTGTGAATTTTGTATACTGCGTATGTAGTACTCCCATATAAATATTATTTATCATTATACAGTCTTAAAAAGATTTTAATATTTGTTAATACACGTCGATCCTGAAAAAGACGTTATTCCTACTTTAGATAAATATTGCGAAGAATATTACTACGTCGATCCCCTCCCCCATCAGAGGTCTATCGATATTCGTAAAAATTTCTTGCAAATACTGAGATACGCGTATATCTCTATATATAGAATCTCGATTTAATAATTTACACAGGCGTCTAAGGTAGGTTTCCACTACAATACCTTACTGATGAGTCCAATAGTGGAAACCTGGACGAAACACCAAAATTATTAATATTTTTCGCAATACATAAGAATTACAGAATTTTAAATACGAAAATTAAAAATTA